CTCCATGCTAGGATGGTGAGAACTGGAAAGGGAAGTGCAAGCATCTCCTAAGAGCATCAGGGCTGAAATACACACTGCAATGGTTGTATCAATGTAAGACGTGGCAATGTATAAAAAGTTTTCCGATTTTAATCCCATGAGCATTTCTGCTTTCCCAAAGCTGGCTTGTCATCAGAACTAAAGAACTGCATTAATTTGCACTCTGATTGTGCTGGGATTTGGTGGAGGTCAGGAAGACAGAAGAGAAAAATCATGGCTGGAAACCCCCCTTCCTATCTGCCTTTGCAACTGCTGCTGCTCTAACATTCCTTGATTCTTCACGCAGAAGGTTGTTGCCCCATTCTTCCCTTCTAGCACAAATAAAGCTAAAGAAATACAGTGGTACCTCACTAGACAAAGACCCCGCTGTACGATGAATCCACAGGACGGTGACTTTTGCGATCACTATAGCGATTCGCAAAACAGTAATTCCTATGGGGAAGTTCCACTGGACGTTGATTAGGTCCGTGCTTCGTGAACTGTTCGAAGATGACGATTTTTCCGGCTCCACAAAATGGCTGCCCTGTGTTTTCCAGACCCATGCTTCGCAGGGCAGCCATTTTTACAGCTGATCGGTGCTTGGAAAATGGCTTCCCTATGGGCGATCTTTGCTGGATGACGAGGTAATTTCCCATTGGAATGCATTAAATGGGTTTCAATGCATTCCAATGGGGAAAGGCTTTTCGCATGATGACGATTTCACTTAACAGCAGTTTTCCCAGAATGGATTATCATCGTCATGCGGGGCACCACTGTAATGTCTTTATTTATGGAGTTTTATGGCCAAGTCCTGGCCTAAGACTTCAAGATAGGGTGGCTAGGACACCCCTATTAGAGAGACAGACCTCCATTTCAAGGGTTCTTAGACTTCCATTATCTAGTGGAATGTATCCTTTACATGAAAAGGATACCAGCTCAAGTCCAGTGTAAAAATAAAAAAGCCAGGAAAGAAGAAAGCAGAGGCCTTGAAATTGCATGCTAGTAGCTTCTAGACAGTACATTTAGCAGTCCCATAGATCACCTTATCACTGTCTTAGTCCATTATGTGAGATTTATTGCATTTCGATTTAATTTACAATCAATTACCTCTAAGACAAAACACTTACCATAAATTTAGAAGTGGTGCGTCCTGAAGAGGCAAAAGACATCTGTTCATCAAGCATATGATATTCTTTACCTTTGCATCTTGCATTTAGTGTGCTTTGTTTTGGAAATGCTACGTTATCATAAGCATAATTTGCAAGTCTGGTCACTGAGGCATCTAACTCTAAGGCACTTCCCAGGCTCTGAGGGAAAAAATGGACTTATAGTAGGAAGTGTATTGTTTTTACTATCTTTCATGTGTTTTATTGTTTGTTTTAGCCCCTTGTGTTTGTTTTTTCTGCAAACTGTTTTGTTTTGCTTTAAATCCAAAGTAGCATATAAATCTCCCCAAATAAACGAATCAAACGAATTAAGAAGGCACCTCGTGCTTGATTTTGGAGTCTCAGGGGGTCCCGTGAAGTCACAAGTCAGTAACCCAGACACAATGTCGTTTCTGCAGCCGCCTTGCCTCAAGATGCCAAAATGCTTTGGTCCTCGTGGTCAAGGTGGAGCGAATGCTCTGCCAAATGCGACGAAACTGGTATCCAGATGCGGACCAGGACCTGCCTTGCGGAAAGTCGCTGGGACCCACGCTGTGAAGAAGTGAGCGAGGAAGGGAGGCGATGCTCCGGACCTCCATGCGCAGGTGCCCCTGAGAACGTGAAGACTGCATGCTGTTGACCCGTGGCCAGAATGGTTGGGAGGTTCAGGGATTTGGTTCCCCCCCAATGAAAGCAGAGAGGAGATTGGTGCCTACGTGTCCTACCTGTGGGTCAGCTCCCCAGCGGAAACAGGCTACTAAACCAGAGAGTCTGATCATTCCGGGCTTTTAGGTTAGGCCACAGGATTGGGCTGACTGAAGAAGACAAGACAGAGTTGCCCAGTTAGCAGGAAAGGCCAGAGAAGCGGGGTGGTGGTGGTGGTGGCGGCTCCTTGCCTACTGCAGGAGAGCATTAGGCTCATGTGAGCTCAGATTTACACTAGACATGATGGTGTCGTCACCTTCAGAAGTGGATCTTCCTTTAGCACCACCTCTTCTTGACTCCTGTATCTTGTGAATCAACTTGTTTTGTTTTTTTGTGATTCATTATCCGGAGGTCCACACAGCCTTCGTTTGCAGGTCTATGTGCGCAGTCCTGGGGCTGTGAGGAAAGGTCCTACCAGCTTCTGAATGTGAAGCGCCTGTCTCAGCTGGTTTGACTCGGCTGCTTGAGGAGACGGAAAGTAGGAGCTGTGCTATGTGCCAGTTGCTGCTATGTGGCATCAAGTAACCTCTGACTTATTAGTGGCTCTAATAGGGTTTTCTAAGGAATGTGAAACGTGCAAGAAGTGTTTGTCGTTCCATGAGGGTCCACAGCCGAATGTGGATTTCAGCCCTGGTTTTTTTGAGTACTCGTCTGACATGCACATTAGCTGCCTATGCTCTGTGAAATTGTGTGTGTGAGTGCGTGTGTGTTTAAACTAGGCATACGCACTGTCTTTGGACCCCAAACCAGGCCAAATCAGTCTTTCTTCCTTCCTTTCCTATCTGGAAACACATAGATAATGTCACGGCTCTTTGGATGAAGCCGATTGAAATGTCTTCTACAAACAGAGCTGTAACTAGTGATTTTTACTCCAATTATTTCTAGATGAGATATAAACTGAGTAAACACACTGTCTTGTGGTGCAGTGCCTAAACTGCAGTACTGCAGCCAAAACTCTGCTGACAACCTAGGTTCAATCCCAGGTAGCCAGCTCAAGGTTCACTCAGCCTTCCCTCCTTCCGAGGTTGGTAAATTGAGGGCCCAGCTTGCTGGGGGCAGGTGGGCAATGTGTAGCCTGCATCATTAAATTGTAAACTGCCCAGAGAGTGCTTTAAGGGCCAAGCGTGGTATATAAGCAGCACACTTTTTTTTAATTAACTGAATGAATTTTCTTAAAATTTAAAAAAGTGTTTCTGGAAAACAAGTTAAAATGCTATAATCATCAGCTTTTTCTTTTTTACTTAAACAACCTTGCTCAGTTTCAGAGATCAATGAGCAGCAATTATCTGTTTTCTTCTGCACCTCAGTTTGCAACATGACTTGCTCCATGGGCCGTGTGAACGCAGACTGCAACGCCTGCATGTGTGAGGAACATCTGCTTCGTGGCAAGGTCTCCCTTCAGGATGGCGCCCCTGCAGCTGGTGCTGCTGTCTACCTACAAGCTCAGACAGCAAAGTTATTGACAGTAGCAGATGATAATGGGGCATTTCAGGTTCCTGGCATCTGTCCCAATGGAAAAAACATCCTGCTGATCAAAAAGCCAAAATATGCCACTGCTTCGGTTACTGTGCCTGTGTCTTCCACAAACTCCTCCTCAGTCCATGTTCGCCTAAGACAATCAGGTAAAGAGCAGTTCATCATATTTGCATCCAATGGAAGGGAACATGGATTTTAAATGGCCCATCAAAGTTTCTGGTGACACTGTCAAGTGGCATGTTTTGTGGTCAACCATACAAATGCAGTGCAGCTGGAGCCACAACTCCTCAGATGCATAAACATGCCGTATTATGCAAGATGGCAGAAGGATGTCGGGCGGGGGGGAGAGGGGAAAGGCTTCTTTAGACTACCAACACTCTTTCCTGGATTGTTAGGCTTTAATCAGAGCTTGATGTACAGTGGACCCTTGACTTACAGACGGCTTGACTTTTTGAGTTACAGACTTCTCTGGCCGCAAAATTTAGGTTTGACTTGCAGACTGAGATTTGACTTACAGACCAGAAAAAAACCAAAATGGAACAAAAACGGCCTGTTACGGGATTAATCGGTTTTCAATGCACTGTAGGTCAATGGAGACTTGACTTACAGACTTTTTGACTTGAGAACCGCCTTCCAATACGGATTAAGTTCTCAAGTCAAGACCCCACTGTATTTCTGGGCACAGTTCAAAGTGCTGGTTCTAACCTATAAAGCCCTAAATGGCTTGGGTCCAAGCTATTTCAAGGACTGTATCTCCCAGATGGTCTCAAGAGAACACCCAAGCTCCAACTCCTGTATTTCTGTGCAGGAATATGTGTTTTTGACATATACCTCTATTCCACCTCCCTTTCTATTCATTCTGTTCTTTTTAAACAATTTATATCCTTCAATTCCTATATGTCAGTGATGAGAGCCATCCACCAAGTTTCAGTTATCTCTATGAAGTCATTTTTATACTCCCAAACTTAGATTTCCAAGTCTTGTTTCCCATATTCCTGACATTTATATAAAGATATTGGACATAGCATGATTTATTGCCTGCTGTCCTTCTTACATTTCTATGAAGATTATTATTGGGCCCCATGAGAGGTACTCAACCTGTTCTTTTTATTGTACACAAGCCTTCATCTGTCTTTACCTCTGAGTTTGCATCTCCCTCCACTTTCCATTTCAGTATAAGTTACACTTGTAATGTAATATAGTTATACCACACTTACTGGGGAAAGTAAACATTTAAAAGTTTTTTAGCAACTTACTTCTAAACAAAGAGAACAGCCAAACAAATAAGTAAGGACCAGACTTTATATTAAGCACGTCATCAGAATTATTTAAGTGTTAAAGGCATCTGATTGTTAGAACAAGAGGTTTACACACCTCTTCTGCTTTGCAAATTTGATTGCTTTGTTTTGTGATTGGTCTTCTGGGTGGAAACATGGGCTGTGTTTGCAAATTGGATTTCTTGTTCACAAAAATCTTCTGAAAGCATGTCTCTCTGGACAAGTAACTGATCTCAATTAGGGTGACTTGTTGGCTAAGTCAACTGAAATCCAGTCATAAGTCACAATTAGAGTAGGCCCACTAAGTCAGTGGGGATTTGGTGGATCAACACATGTGTGAAGTCCATTGATTCAATAGCCTATTCTAACTGTGACTTATAACCGGATTTGAGCTGTTATCTGTTATGTATAGTTTGGCCTTGAATGACTGAAGTAAGGACTATTTTTCTCCCTTCAGGAAAACCATACATGGTGACACATCCAGAGAACAAAGCAAGAAGAGAGGGGCAAAGTGTTTCTTTCTGTTGTCACGCGGATGGAGATCCAGCACCCAGTCAGTATTATTGGTAAGACATTCAAGCAAAATCACAAAGAGACACTTATTACTTTATTCTATAAACAGTGCAGGTTTTACAAACCACTGAGTGCTATAGTTCAATTCTTACACTAGCAAACATAAGAGCAGTTACAGAAAAAAAATGCCTTGACTTTCCCAAACCCTTGCAGGTTCCACAATGAAACTTTACTGGACCCTATGCTCTATAAATATAAAAGCAACCTCGTGCTAAAGAACTTGAAAGTGGACCATGCCGGACAGTATGTCTGCAAGACCAGCAATGATGCCGGATCGGTGAAGTCCCAAGCTGCCACGCTCTCTGTAACAGGTGAGAAACTTTGGATGACAGGTCAGATGGAGGGAGAAGCCGGGTGGGGCTCTAAGGATTCCCAGTTAATTCCCACCGAGCACAGAAGGAGGCAAAGTCCTCCCAGTAGCAGAACGTTGTTAATGGGAGCTACCAAATAGGTCGCTTGGGTTGACAAGTGGGCCAGCCTCAAGGTACCTCCTGCTCCAGCAGAAACGGTCTGACCCCCAGACCCTGAGGATGGCCACGCTGGCTGGCCGATTCGGACGTCCTCCAAAAAAAAGGGGGATCCCACTCTCCTACACTGACAGGTCCAAGCCTGAAAAAAAGACGAGGAGGACGTTCAGCAACCATGTGGCCAAAATGCAGCTTTGCTAAAGGCATCTCATCCCATTGTCCTTGCCAGTATCATGTAGCAAAACAACTCACTGAGCTTTGCTTGTGGTAAAGGAGAAATATGCTATGTACTGTATCTTTGTCAAGTTGGTAGCCCCTGCTAGGTATTAACACATGGCATCTGTTTCAACAGCAAAGAATGAAGCGCCTTGTGTTCAAAAGCCTGAGAGCTACCTTACCCGACTGCCACACGACTGCTTTCAAAACTCAACCAGCTCCTTCCACTACGACGTCGGTAGGTGCCCCTCCACGCCGTGCTCCGGCATGCAGGACAAAGGCCTCCGGTGCAAGGACCCTGTTGCTTACTGCTGTGGGGTCTCCAGAATGGAAACGCGAGAAATCCTGTGCGCTGGATACACCCTTCCCATCAAAGTGGCTGTGGAGTGTGGGTGTCAGAAATGCACCAAAGCAAAGGTCGTGGTCCGAGGAAGAGCTGTGGCTTCTGATACAGAGGAGCCCATGAGGTTTGGCCATATATATCTGGGGAACAACCGAGTCAGCATGACAGGTTATAAGGGAACCTTCTCAGTTCAAGTGCCCCCAAACACAGAGAGGCTGGTCCTCACATTTGTTGACCGCATGAATAAGTTTGTGAACACCACTAAAGTGCTGCCATTCAACAGAAACGGTGGAGCTGTCTTCCATGAGATCAAGATGTTAAGAAAGAAGCCGCCTATCACCCTAGACTCAACTGAGACCAGCGAGATCTCCTTGGGGGATCTGGAGGGGGGTGATCCGATAGCCATACTGGAAATTCCTCCCAATACATTTTACAGGCAGAACGGGCAACCTTATGTGGGAAAAGTAAAAGCCAGTGTGACCTTCCTAGACCCAAGGAACCTCTCCAGCGCACCCATAGCACAAAGTGACCTGAATTTTGTGGATGACCAAGGTGACATGCTCCCACTGAGGACCTATGGCATGTTTTCTATGGACTTCACTGACGAAACGGCCACAGAGTCCCTCAATGCAGGAAAAGTGAAAGTCCACCTGGACTCTTCTCAGGTCAAGATGCCAGAACATCTGACGGGAATGAAGCTTTGGTCCTTAAACCCACAGACCGGTTTATGGGAGGAAGAAGGAGACTTCCATCTTGACAGCAGCAGACGGAGCAAGCGAGAAGAGAGAACATTTCTGGTAGGTAATATGGAGATAAGAGAAAGGCGGCTTTTCAACCTGGATGTACCAGAGAGCAGGCGCTGCTACATTAAGGTGCGCACTTACAGAAGCGAGAGATACCTGCCCAGTGAGCAAGTTTCAGGCGTGGTGGTTTCCGTTATCAATTTGGAACCCACTCCGGGATATTCTTCTAATCCGAGAGCTTGGGGACGCTTTGACAGTGCGGTTACTGGCTCCGGTGGGGCTTGTGTGCCAGCCTTCTGTGACGACCAAAACCCAGATGCCTATAGTGCTTACATCATGGCAAGTCTTGCGGGAGAAGAACTAGAAGCCGTTCCCTCCTCTCCAAGGCTTAACCCTGCTGCCATTGGAGTCCCCCAGCCCTATCTCAACAAACTGAAGTACAGGCGGACGGATCACACAGATCGTCAAGTCAAGAAAACTGCTTTCAGAATCAGTGTGGCCAAACCCACTCCGAACGCTGCCGAGGAGAGCAATGGCCCCATTTACCCTTACGAAAAGCTCCAGGAATGTGAAGCTGCTCCATATACGGCTGCTCACTTCAGGTTTTACAGGGTAGAGGGAGACAGGTATGATTATAACACTGTTCCTTTTAATGAGGATGACCCTGTGAACTGGACAGAAGACTACTTGGCTTGGTGGCCTAGGCCAACAGAATTTAGGGCATGTTATATTAAAGTGAAAATCAATGGGCCTCTTGAGGTCAATGTGAGATCTCGCAATGCAGGAGGCACCCATCCACGGACCTCTGGCAAGCTGTATGGCATCAGAGATGTTCGTAGCATACGCGATTTGGACCACCCCAACCTTTCAACAGCATGTCTGGAATTCAAATGCAGCGGCATGTTGTATGACCAAGAACGCATTGACCGAACAATGGTACACATCATCCCACAGGGAAACTGCTACAGAGAGAGTGTCAACAGCATGCTTCACGAATATCTCGTGAACCACCTTCCTGTTGTAATGAATAATGATTCCAGCCAGTATACCATGTTGGCGCCTCTTGATCCACTTGGCCACAATTATGGGATCTACACAGTGACAGACCAGGATCCTAGGACAGCCAAGGAAATTGCCTTGGGCAGATGTTTTGATGGAACATCGGATGGTTCCTCAAGGATTATGAAAAACAATGTGGGCATAGCGCTAACTTTTAACTGTCAAGAGAGAGATGTACAACAGCAGAACCTATTTGAGTCCCTGCGGAACGTTCCTGGATGGTCTCCCGCTAGCTCACTCCGGGAAAGAATAGGTGTACGGAGACCAAGCAGAGGACGTGGTGTTCTGATCAGGGGACAAAGTATTCCTTTTGTTCGAATGCCACAAAAACGCCAATAAGCTCTTATGTCCTGCCCCCTCCCTCAACTGAGCAGTTATGTGAGGATATTAAGGGTCCGCACCAATTACACATACCAGAGTACCGGAGATGGTTCTCCATTACAACACAGAGAATCTTTCCCAATGCTGAGGTTCATGGAAAAGCCTTTTGCAGGCATTCAGCTCTTATTCTAGGATTATGAGAAAACACTCCGGAGTTGCTAATAGTTCGTTAGGCTAATGACCAGGCTTTCACATCCTGGTGTCCTCTGAGTGTGTTGGATGATGACTCTCAACAGAACCTGGCTGATACCTGGGTTGTTGAAGACTGAGTTTTGGGTAGGCTTAAGTGGTCACATCTTTCAATGAAGTGTTGCTACCTGAAAGGAAAATACTGCACACAGGAGAGACAACTAGAATGCACCTGTAAGACCCGCACCTCACTAGTGCTCAGGTTCCTACCTTTTCCACCTCCCTTCAGTCTAACTCTGTTGAGTTTTGTATACATTTCCAAAGTAGAAACATGAAGTGAACACGTACCCGGAGATAAATTTAGTCCACCTGCTTCAGAACTAAATTCATACCAGACACCCTTCAGCCTTCCTATTACTATTAACACCATACATTTTTTAAATGTCTTCAAAAAATCTTGCATTTGACAGATTTTTTTAACCAAATAGTTAAAGAGCAAATATCTATCTACATAGCTTGTATTTCTGCAGCGTATTAAGTACTGTAAACAAATACGGTATCATTAGCAGAAAAAGGGATATCGGATATAGAGCACTATATAAAAACTCTTCCCCCCCCCCCGGTAAGATAGACTTCATCAGCCCGAACATCAAATGAAAATGAATAAAAAAGGAAACTATTTGTTCATACTGAATTTCATTGTAACAATCTGTACCTGAAAATGTGAACAGTGCTATTTATTTCCATATGTGTGTATGTCTTCATTCCCAAAGTAGTTTGTGGATGTATTTGCAGCACACAAACATGTGTTTATGGCCTCTTTTCTCCAGAGATCTTGAGGCAGCATACTTGGTTCTTTGCTAATTTGCAGATTCTGCCCTTTTAAAAAAAAGTACTTTTCCAAACACTGAGACTGCCTGCCAATGCTCTTTGAAGAACCAGGAAGTAAAGACTGTGCTTAACAAGGTGGAATATGCTTGATTTCATAGTAGGGTTGGATTTAGCCTACAGGACCTGTATTGTCTACCCTCCTCTAAGTTAGAATTGGCTTACATGAGATACGGCCCATAACTTTGAGCGTTAAAGCAGAACAGTGCAGTGATTCTCAACCTTGAGTCACCAGATGTTCTTGGAACCGCAGCTCTCAGAAGCTTCCACCACTAGCTATGCTGGCCAGGATTTCTGGGAGTTGTAGTCCAAGAACATCTGGGTATTCAAGGTTGGGAACCAGTGCATAGGGCAAGACAACATGAAACAGACGTGGCCCACTTCATGCCATTTTATCACACTGAACTGTCAGGAAAATGGGTGGCTTGTGTAGTTCAATTCTGATCTTGCTTTACTCTAATAAGGTGTGTGTTGTTGTTTTGCCATGTTTGTACAGTATTACTGTACCTGTTTACCCACTCATATTTTTGTCAAGTCCAGAAGCGAGCAGTGCCACCTGCTGGTTCACTGGGGACGATGCACCCAGTAGCTTGCAAAGATGGACTATCCACTGACCCTCTTTATGTCATGTGGAAATAACTTATATGTTGCAAGGGCTCTACCTGCATGAAGGCTGTTCGTACAAGCAGAATTGGAGGGTCTATCGCTCACCTGCAGAATGCATGCATGGGACACAATATCCCAGCTTCACACCACCTCCAAGAATCAAGCAAGTTGAGCATAAAGTTACATTGGAAACCATTCCTTCAGTTTATCAAATTGGGACTAGACCACTGCTGCAACAGGGAAAGGGGGATTTTAAAGAATGGAATACCACACTTAGGAACATACCTTGCAATGGATCACTAATGTTTCTGACTTCTTATTGTAAAACACTGATCCTGGGAGAATCTCATTTTCAGGTCTTAACCTATCTGAATGGAAAACACATGTTCTACTCATTGCTTTCCCACAACAAGTGATTATTAAGTTCAACCTCCTTCTAAAACCTCATCAAAGTAACAGATCTTAACTGTGCTTCCCAGTGCTCCTTAAACTCTGGCCTCGGTAAGGCTCAAGGAGAGCCTTTTATAACTCAGCTGGATTAGCTAATAAATCGTAACACACCTCATGCTCTCCAAATTTGTTTCTGGGATCAATACATACATGGTGCTTTCCGCTGACCTTAGATGTCACGATGCACTATAACACAACTACCACTTTCCTATGTAAGGGGAGCGGCTTAACTTTGGTTTACTAAAGGCTTTATAGATCTAAAACAGTACTTTCAGAAGGGGACATGCAGCCAAGCTGGAAGGCGAAACAGTAGTGAAAACACTTACAGGAAACAAATAATGGGCAACAAAATAAATATACAGTGGTGCCTCGCTTAATGGGCGCTCCGTTTGACGACGAAATTGCATCATGACGAACTTTACGATGTTCCCTATTAGGGAATTTCGCTTTACGATGATCGGTTCCCTGCTTTGGGAACTGATCATCACAAAGCAATGATTTTCGGCCAGCTGATCGGCGGTTTCAAAATGGGTGCACTTCAATAAAAATAATTTATTTTTATATCAATAAAAATAATTTATTGATATATCAGTATAGCAGAAACAAGTTTCCTCTAAGATGCCAGGGCATAAAATCATTATGGCTGGCTATACCAAGAAATAAACCCTGCACGATGGTATAGCTGGCCATAATGATTCAAACAGGAGGAAATTAACTGATACTGATAAAAGTTCTTGGGACATTAGTCCTGGGATATAAACCACAGCACAACAGAGGTAGGGAAAGTATTGGAAGAACTGGAAAATGTTTCCCTCGTGTGACTAGGGCCTGCTTGGCAATTCAAGAGTGTGACAAATGTTAAGGACTGGCACATCCAGCTTTCCATTTCTAGATGATACACCACCAATTTTGTTCAAACTGGTATTTAGGTTGTCCAATATAGAAAGTGGGACATTGTTCTCTTGCAGCATTTTTCAAAATGGCTGTTACTAAATTCTGCATTGTTCTTTTGGATCACAAAGCTGCACTTTAGAAAAGAACCTCAGAACATACTCATAACAGAGGATATGGATTCCAGGAAATCCTTCTGGCTGCACTGAAAACACACTTGAATGCTTCAAGTGCTTGAAAAGGAACCCTTCACTTAAGGACGGATTTGAAACAATGCTGAGGGGCTTCCAGCCATGTCATCTGGAATCATCACCGGATTCTTCTGGACAGTAATTCAAGTCAATTGCTGCTGTGCATTGTGTGAATGCAACACTCTGCTTTTGGAACTGTTTTTTGTTCTGGCCATCTTGAGTGTCTGAAACCTGCACTCTATGAGAGGCATTTTGGAAGTCTGCTGAATCCAGTGATGCAAATTTCCATTGTAGAATTCAATGGCTGTCAGCTTCTTCTTAAGGATCATGGTCTTTTCTCCAACCCAGCCTTCCTAGAAAACGGAAATATGCAAAGTGAGACTTGGAAAGGACAGAGCACTTCCTTCAAGTCTACACGTTCACTGCCCACAGCTAGAGGCTAAGCATGCTGTCACTCTCAGCTTTCGAGGCTTTGTAATGTCATTTTTCTTAGGCTACAGGAGTCAGCTTGGAGAACATGGGGGAAGGGCCTGATGAAACCCCCGAACTTTGTCTGGGAGAAGGAGAAGGCAGAGGTTCCAGAAAGGCATTAGCATCCACCATAGTGTGCATTTTGAAGCCAGGGTAAAGACAACACGAGCAAGCAAGTAGAGCATAAAGCTACATTTGAAACCATTCCTTCAGTTTAATAAATTGGGACTGGACCACTGCCCCAACAGGGAAAGGGGGATTTTAAAGAATGGAATACCACACTTAGGAACATACCTTGCAGTGGATCACTAATGTTTCTGACTTCTTATCGTAGAACACTGATCCTGGGAGAATCTCATTTTCAGGTCTTAACCTATCTGGACAGAAAACACATGTTCTACTCACCTCCTTCTAAAACCTCATCAAAGTAACAGATCTTAACTGTGCTTCCCAGTGCTCCTTAAACTCTGGCCTCGGTAAGGCTCAAGGAGAGCCTTTTATAACTCAGCTGGATCAGCTAATAAATCTTAACACACCTCATGCTCTCCAAATTTGTTTCTGGGATCAATACATGCATGGTGCTTTTTGCTGACCTTAGATGTCACAATGCACTATAACACCACTACCACTTTCCTATGTATGGGGAGTGGCTTAGCTTTCAGTTACTAAAGGCTTTATAGATCCAAAGCAGTACTTTCAAAAAGGGACATACAGCCAAGCTGGATGGCAAAACAGTAGTAAAAACACTTGCAGGAAACAAATAATGGGGAACAAAAGAAATATAACCTACTTCACAGAATGCCCCGCAGTGCCATTTAACCTTTATTCCCCAGCGTTTTACAAATGGGAATATTAAATGATTCATTTACGAACCAATAAAATCCGGCAATGTCTCAACTTCTGCAAGATCCAGGAGCTTTACCACACTGCCCATCCACAGTGTTCGCAGGGGCATCTGAAAAGATAGTTCTTTTTGACCCTGCTTCCACCTGTCATTTCTGAAAAATGTTTTGCATTCTTGGGGCTCTCCTTATTCTGTCACTTTGGCTCCAAAAACACTGACAATAACAAACTAAGTTCTTAGTACTTATTATTAAGTAGCCATTGTCTGTACTTTTTTAATAAGCTCCAGACAACACAAAAATATAGAATCAAGCTGCATAATCCTAACCTTTGAATACATAAAAAAGAGAAAAGCATTTGTAATGGCACAATGTAGTTTTAACAGATGGGAAGATCACTCAGCACCCACAAAATTTTCAGAGTTGCTAAAAAAATAGGTTTTGACATGTTATTCCATTAAATAAAATAGCATTTATACATCTTTGTCCTAATCTGCATTATTGTCACCCCAGTAACTGTATCTCCATGGAGTACTGTGTGGATGATTGTTGCGGGACCATGCCATCTTGGAAGACAGTTGGGATGGACATTCAATACACCACTGAATCAGAAATTTAGAAATCATAATACTAATTCTATGATATGCATAAGCACATAGTGACCTATTTATTTATTTATTTGATTTATATACCACCCGTGATGAGGCCAACAGCTAAACAAGGATAAGCTCCCTCTTCCATCTTCATCTGATTCTCTGAACTCCAAGAGAGGAGACTTTGAGGTGGTTCTCAGAATCAGAGGGTCATGATGATCTGTATACTTGCATGTTGATATGGAGGTACAACTGCCATGTGGTGGAAAACAACCCGGCTTACAGTTGGTCTTTGAAGCCCCACAACCTCTCCCCACTTTTTTTCCCTTTGCTTTGTTTTTCATTGGAATGCTTACAGAACCAGACTTTAAAATAACTGAACCCCAAACAGAGGCCATAAGTCATTGCTCATGTGAAACGCAGCCATTTCTCTTGGAACTGGGCATGCATGCTTTACTGGGTGGTCCCTGTAGTTTGCCTCACATGTCACTTTTCCCTTTACAGTATTTTTCTTTCAGTGTTACCTGACAGCTCAAGAACAAGATGATAAGATCAAAAGAAGGCGGTTTTTATTTGGAAAGAAAGGAAGAGCTGGGAAGGGTTTTCGTGGAAGAAAAGCCTTCCCTGCAGCCAAACCCTGCTCTCCATCGGAGGAAGGCTTTGCAATCTAACTGCTCGCCCTTTCTAATGGCTTAACAAGCGCTGAGCAACGCGCCCCTTTTCCCGGGCTTGAGGGAGACCCTTGGCCCTTCGCCCTCTTCTGGTCTCTCCTCGCTTGCTTCCCCTTTGCTCGCTTGCATTTTGCCAGCCATTTTCTTCCTGCCCTGGGAAGGGAGCGGCCGGTGGGCGGTGGCGGGGGAGGAGCTCTCCTGGCCATGAGGCTTGCCTTACAGTACAGTATTTCTCCCTGGCTCCAACACAGGCAGACACAGAGCGCGCCAGAGTTTTTCTCCCTCGCTCCAACACAGGCAGACATTGCAGGGAGAGGAAAGCAAAGGCAGCTGTTGGCAGGAAAAGGGAAAAGGGTGGAAGAAGAATGGGGCTCAGGGCACCTCCAGGGCAGGGCAGGGCTGGAGCCCATGAGGCAGAGCAGGAGAAGGGGACAAGTCCTCCAAGTGGTTTCCTCAGGACAGCCATCTTAGGAGAGGAGAAAGGGGGAAACTCTGAGGTGATCTGAATGTTTAAAGCCACTTAATCCGTTTTTAGGGAGGCTGAACAGGACAGGAGGCAGTCAGAAAGCCTTCAGAAGCTGTGAGAAGAGAAGTTCTCAAGCCCTGATCTTTGTATACACGGTTACTTATATGTGAGGGAAAATAAAGACATGCACTCTACCATAAACGCTTGTTGGGTTTTACTTGAGGGAAGAAATGAAACCATTTTGTAGAAATACAGGCATTTTCAGTTGAAAAATCTTGAAGGGCAGCTTAAGAAGAAACAAATTAGTGCTGGGGGAATATTTTGAGTTCTGGCAGTTAAATACAACTTTAGCTGTTAGGCATAAGAAAACAATAGATAATCCAGTTTATTCCAACTGTCCATATTACATTCAAATAACTGAAAATCATATTTTCTGGGGCTTTTTTTGCTAATATTAGTCCTGCTGCTGTTAGCAAAACAGAAATTAATTCTTCATACCTCCACATTAATGGTCTCTAAAGGGCTACTTGTTCCATATTTAACTTTAGTATTACATTTCTATTTTTAAGCACTGACTGAACATTTCCAGATTGTTTTGCATTCTCACCACATATGAAAATGCATGCCTATAAATTGATCATTTCTCCAGCATAATTTAGAATATGTAGTGTATGACTTTTTATCAGTGTTAAATGCCATTTCCAAATTAATGTATAAGAATACCTTCTCATAAAGACTATGACATGACATGTTATTGTAATGGAATGTAATACCTTTTCATAAAAATGATAATGTTACATCTGGTCAGAAAGAAATATTCAGATTGTGAGGAGAAAACTGCTCAACTACTGAGCTTTGTACAATTGCCTTCAGTTACATTAGAGGGAAAATAGAGAAATTGTACACTGCCTATCTCTGTTCTTCCAGGTGTCTATATGTAAACCAACCAACCAACCAACCAACCAACCAACCAACCAGCCAACCAACCAACCAACCAACCAACCAACCAACCAACCAACCAACCAACCAACCAACCAACCAAACTTTAATCATTTGGATAANNNNATATAATTAAAACATCATAAACATTAAACAATTAAATCAATAATATGGTGTGTTCAAGATGGGAAATGATAAACACAAGGAGATAGAATTCAAGAATTGACACAAAACCTTGTTGATTTTACTTGAATAAAGAAATAATTAAAAAGCTGCTCTGTTAAGTTTATTGTGCTGTAAATGGGCATCATTTAGTGTTCAATCCTGATGGAGATGGGCACATGCATGCGCAAATGCAACATAAAAAGCATGTTAGTGTTAACTTCCCAATGCTGGAACATTTTTCATTTCCTTTTCCTCCTGCACAGTTAAGGAGAAGCAGTTAGAGAGTGTACAGGAGGGTGCGTTTCCAGGGACCAATTTATTATAGTTAATTTTTGTATGTTATATACTATAGAGCTGGTCCTAGCATGGAAAGCTGGTTCTTTTAACACATGAAACTTCAAGCTTATAAGACTGTTTTGTACAAACACACAAAACAATTAGCACAGTGTTCTTCTGAGGTAAAAGTTCTTGGGTAATGTAAGAGGAAACTGAAGAAACAGCCTGATCACTGAAAGAAGTGTCAGGAACAGTTTTAAAGTATTTCCTGAGGTAAACATTTCAAGGTAATTGTAAGGAAATACATATATATGCCTTCCAGAAAGACTAAAATGTGTCTTGTTGGAGATTTAGATTCAGATTAGTGAAGAAAGCCAAGATGTTGAGAGTTTTGTGGAAGTTACTTGCATGAGATCTGTTCTGGTTGAGAATCCAGAGAATTTGGAAGCATGGATACTGTATTTGAAAAATAAATGGAAAAATAAATAAATTATTTATAAAAAATAAACAGTTAACATCACTAGAAGGAGAAAAGGATGAAGAAGAGCCTCTGAGCGGCCACTGCTCTGTGCCAATGGCCCTGCCCTGTCTCCCTATGGTGGTGGGAGGGGGGAACCATTCTGAAGAATACAGAGACCCTTGGATATGTGGCAGGTCTGGGCGCTGGGATCAGGGGCAAAAAAAAAGTTGCAGTAATGGGACAGCATGATATATATGTGTATTGTCTCTGCTAGAAAAAGAAAGAAAACAAAATGATCATACTTTCTCAACCTGCTTCAGAATGTAACACTGGTGTCAGATTCAGAAGTTGAACAAAACCTTGGTCTAATAACAATTCCAGTTGACTTCTGTTAGTGAATGACAAGTCCCACTCATTTTAGTGGGAATAAATTTTGATTTAGCCCTTTGATTCCCCCTGCCCCCCCTCTTTGCCTTTGAGTCTTGCGTTTCTCTTTTTCTTTCTGCTGCTTGGTTCCAGCCCAACCCCAGTCCTTGGCATAACAGAACTTGCACTCTGGACACAGGAAAGTGTGACGCAGGAAGAGCTTTCAAAAAACAAGTATCAGATAGTATTTGTTTTGAAATTAAAAGAGCATGGATCTCACAATTTGGGCTCTAGGCTAGCTCAGGGAAAGAACAGGGGGGTTTAAAGGTCATTAGCCATAGCCACGTTCAGCTGGTCCCAAGATGTCACAAGTGATGATTTCGGAAAGGAGGCAACATCTGTGAGGTTTTCCCTCTCACTGAAAAGGTCCACAAGGAGGGCTGCCCTCTGAGCGTAGGCGAAGCAATGGGTGAGCAAGGGACCATCCCCTTTAGTTTTCTGGAACTCTTTCCAGCCCAGATAAATGTTTTCCACTGCACAGGGCAAAATGAATGGAAGATGAACAATGGTATCTTCTTCTGTAAAAAAAAAAATTCCTTGTTCCAATGGAATTAGCAAAGAACGTGTTCTGAGCAAATTGGGGCCCTTAAGTGAGTTTGACAGAACATCTGTCCAGGCTGCAACACAACCTTCATTGAAAAAAAAAATCAAGTTCAAAAGAAAAGGGATTTAAATCCTATTCTGTAAGTGACACTGCATAAGGCTAATGATCTCACAAGCTACAGAAGGTTTTCAGAAATTAACTGAAGTTAATTGAAAGTCCCTGGTCTATCTGTTTTATAGGCTTTCATCTTGAATTCACACTGGGACAGGATAATCTTCCAGTGATGGCAGTTTCAAAAGGAGGACCATGTTCTGTAAGAAGAGGCCAGGGGTCTGCCCCGTCTGATCACGACCCAGATGTTTCTGTTTATTGGTTTGTTTCCTGAAATCAGTTCAAGACAGTAAAAAAAAGTCAGTCCAGTTCCATTTAGTTCCAGTTCAGGCTGACTCCTTCCGCCGTTGGAATACTTCACCTGATTATGGTGTTATGACTCCAATTTCAAATCTTGTTCCAAGTCGTTTAAATTTGCTGTCACTGGTGATTTTCCAGGAGTAGTACAGAAGCAGTTGCAAAATATG